AGAAAATTATAGCTGGAGGATCCCTGCACCAATCAGCCCCTCAGACTAGTCACTGTTTAATAGAGAAGTTGGTTGCTTTTTTATAGATAGGTCTCAGGAGCATTAGGGTTTCTCTTCAGGTGCAGTTAATTGAAAAGAAAGGATTACCTTAATCAAAATGGTTAAATATGAATTTTTGATAGGGTTAGAGATAAATGGTTCCAGACTTAGTTATGGGTCATCCTCTTTATACAATGGAGGATTTTGGATCTCATTGATACTCTAATTGACATGTAAATATTTTTTTGTACATGGATTGTCACCCCATTTGTTCTTGTGAATTAATGAATCATACATACTTTTTATTTTTTTTTTTAAAAAGAATCCGATGCCTTATGTTGCAAAGTGTCCATGTTCTACTTGAGTGACATAGATTTTGTAGTTCAGCAGTCATGAATGTTATAAGATTGAGTATTTGAATTTGTGTTAGTAAATTTGTTTTTCACCCCCTTTTGTTCTAACTTGTAGGGAATCTTGTCTGCTTCAGTTTTATCAATCATCTCTCTGATTCGTCCTTATCAATGGCAAAGCCTGCTAATGCCAGTATGAAGTTCTTTTACCTATGAGATTTACTAATTCTTAACTATTACTTTGGTGACTAATATCATGAATAAACATCCAGGTTTTGCCGGATGACATGCTGGATTTTTTGGATGCACCAGTTCCTTACATAGTGAGTGCTTAAACTTTTCAGTTTTTTGTCTTAATTATGTTGCTTCTGCATTTCTTCAAGATATATTGAGTTTGGACCCATTTCATTTTTCAAGCTACGCAATTTGGGAAACTAGATGGTATATAATTGTTTGTGGGTGCGAGTTATAGACTTCGATCAATGTCTTCTGTATCTTATATATAACTTAATATGTTTGTTTTTACATATAAGTAAACTAATATATTGTTTTTTGTGTATAAAAAAGGAATATAAATGAGAAAAATTGGACCATTTCTTATCAACTTAAAACTTTTGGAATAATAATTCCTTAAAAAACTTTTTAGATGATAATTCAACCCAACTCAACTTCTCATGCAATATGGTACCGATTCCAGTTAAAATTTCGAGTCTTGAGCATTTATTTTCCATTAAAGTTAAATTTTAGCACGTCATGTTCATCAGTATTTCCATTCTTCCAACCTTGTAGTTGTGTGTGAGGTGGTGAATTATACGATATCTCAAAGGGTACCGGTACCTCACAACATAGGGTTAACGATAGTTACCATTAATGACAACATTAACTATTTTTTATACATTTTGTATCATTTGATACCATTTTTTGCTACTATTGATAATATCATTTTTTGCTTCAAGTTGATGTTGTATTTGGCTATATTTTGTAATAAATTGATATCGTTTTTTGCAAAAAGTTATTATATTTGAAGATTTATGGTTAATATCATCACTTGTTGAATGTTGATTACCATTTGTCAGACATTGATTATGAAAACGAAAATAATAAGAAAAAATGATATAATTTTAATTCATAGTCAAAGATGATAACAAATATCAGCCTAATGGTAATGGGGAAATGATAATTATTGATAGCTCCATGCTCTATGGTATCAGTAACCTAAGTATAGGTGGGGATATAATAGAATTTTTCTAAATAATAAGATTGGTTCTCTGGAAAATCTGTTGTGCAACTTATTTAATTCCCAAAAAGGCATCATTTTTACATCTTTTTAGGCCTATGTAATCATCTATGTTTTATAGTGTGGTTTCCTTTCCTTGTTTGCTTTTTTTTTAATTAAAAAAGTGATACCAGTAGAAGAGGGAAGAACAAGGTATATTAGCAGAGCGTAAGAAATCCTCCTAAAATAAAAATAAAAAAATAAATAAAGATAAACAACAATGTAATGAAGCACTAGATGGTAGTCCCTTTGCAGAATGATAGCCAAGAAACATCTCTGAAATATCCATGAACCTTACCCTAAGAGAAGCCCGAAAGGTATATTTTGTCCCCAAATCTGGTCCCCTTTCTTTACTGTCTTTTTGTAGTTATCAGTGTCCTTGACATCACACGGGCTGCTAAAGATATGTTTATCTGCAGGTTGGTGTTAAGAATAAAACCAGTGAAGTACAGTCTAAGTTAACCAATGTCTTGGTGGTTGATGCTAACAGGAACCAGGTTTGTATATTATGACTCATTTTACTTTAGTAGTTAACAAGTGCCTTTTTTTTTTTAATGTTGGATGGTTGTGGGAACATGACAAAATGTTGCGCATGTAAACAAATCTTCCAAGGTCACTCACTAAACGGGAAAGAAGCTTTCAGTAAAATGCTTTCAACATTAATGTCCAGTAGATTTTTTTTCCCATCATCAATTATCATCTTTATATAGCATGTTTTTGGGCCATTAAAGACTACTAAATGTGGTTTAAGTTTGATTATCGAGTTTCAGTTGATCATCTGTTAGTTTGTTCCACAGTATTTTTCCTCCTTCAAAGAAAAAAAAAAAGAAAAAGAAAAACAGTATCTTTCCTGATGTGGCTGATGTTTTTCTTCATTTTTGCATGAGATTGTTTATGGTGCAGTATGCCATGCGAAAAAATATTTCTGGAAGATGGGGGAAAAGAAGTTTTTGTATTTTCAAGCTGTTAACTAATCTGAACCGGTCTAGTAATGAATGCTCTTGCAGAGGCAGGTTAGCATGTTCATTTAACCCATTATTTTCTCTTTTTGCCTGAGATCACAGGTTAAGTCAGCATCAATACCTCAACTACCCAAACAGAAGGAGTTATTTTCATCCTTAAGTCCGTATCACGCCAAACTTGTGGGAGAAAGTTATTTGGCAAGGAAAAGACCAGTCTATGAATGCACAGATGTGCAGGTTTCTCTCATTTTTATCTTGACTTTTCCTTTTACTTCTCAGTTATGGTGTATATTGCTGCAGCTTTATTTTGCTACTCTGTATTCAAAGTTTTGACTGAAAATTGCAACTAGATAATATGAGAAGTAGTTTGTGTTATACTGTGATTGATTTTTGTGTAGGAACTTTGTGTTGCCAATCTTAATCTTTGTTTGTACGTTCCGATCATGTGTAGGTGGAGGCAGCAAAGGGTTTCCTGACTGTGGTAAGATCCTACTTGGATTCTCTTTGCTCTAACCTGCGTTCACATACAATAACAAATGTGCAATCTAATAATGACAAGGTTAGTGTCTTTTGCCCATTGCAATGTCATTCTATTGGTGATAGTTATTGTTTACATCTGCTGCACATAATTGGTTCTCTTGCCTTTTCTTTTTTAAATCGGATTTTATGAGAAATGATTTCAATTCAATGCGTGGAGAAAAAGATACATCCCCAAACAAAATAAAAAGATTTGAGTATTTTATAGCCTGTAGAGATGCGGTTTGCAATATGGTTCTTTTATATGGCAGATGCATAAGTGATATACAAATAGACAAGGACAGTTATCTTTAAGGATCAATGTGCTCAGATACAAATTAAAAATTTCAAAAGTCTGAACTGTCGTGGATGTTACTGAATGGTTCTGAAGGTATAATTGGTTTGTTCAAAAGGAAATACAAATTAATTGTTATCTATATTATTTTTATTCATATCAAACTTTTGTGGAGAGTTGTCTCAATTTGTTTGATTTGCATGCTCTGTCGAGAGAGAACTCTGACACATACCAAACAAACATCACCTTGAGAATCTGCATCAAGCTGTCTTGGAGAGTAATCTCAATATGGCCTGAATGTGCAATACAGAGAAAATAATAACCCATGCCAAAATAGTATCACCTTGAGTCTCTGGAAACCCCTTAACTTTTCCACTGTATATTATCTATTTCCTCCTTGTGAAAATTATGTACTTCTCCTACTTTTCCTTTATTAACAGAAAATAAGTTAGAAAAAAGAAATATTATTAGATTGATATAGAGAAGAAGCAACGGTTGACTATCCACCCAAAAAAAGGAAAACTGGCTCGTGCAATTGATGATCGCCAGCTAATCTCTATGCAACATAGACAGAATATTCTTTAAAATGCCTATGTTGGATATCAAAAATCTTCAAAATGCCTATGCTTAGCCCAAAAGAACACCAAAAAGACAATCTATTGATAATGATAATCGGAGTAGGAGCTTTAATTCATGACTTATCTTTGAGGGATTTTCTTTCTACTGGAATTATCTTCTACTAGCAAGGAATTATCCTTCTATCTTCTACAGGATTTCTTTCTAGGATTTAGAGAACTGAAAATCTCTCTAAAATTCTACTTAATCTTTTGATTCTAAAGAAACAAGAATACAACTAATTGCAAGTAAATAAAACTACCTACTAAACTGGCAAGAAAAACTACTACCGCTCGACCAGTGATCACCCATAGGAAAACCGTAAACCACCTCTTTACACAAACAATAACCATCTACAGTGCATGGACGATTACTAAGAACTATTACTAGCACATTCATTCTGGACAACAATGATAAATTGACAGAAAACTAAAAATAAATTAACTAATCATCACTTTTCGATTTGGACTGGTTGAGAATTCATAACATCTGTCCCTCCCTCAACAGGGGTGCGTATCCTCAACCACAAAAGTGGAGAAGAATTTTGTGTGGAATAAGCAGTTCAAAAAATCTGCAAGTGACAGAACTATTTCAAATTTGAGATTGCCCTTTGTAGATGGAGTGAAAGCTATAATGAACTCTACGATGATGGAATCTCTCAAACGAATTCCTGGCTGGCGCCAGAGCAACCAGAAAATGCAGAAATTCTGTTCCCTTTTCTGGGATCTGAATGATTTTTGCAATATCTGCTACCAGTTGTTCACCTAGTGCCAAATTGATTTACTATACTGCATCAAGACTCTTGCAGTTTGGATGTTCTGCAGGTCTACCAAGTTGTGTGGTAACTCTAGTTAATGATTATTGGGAGTTGAAAGTCCCACTTAGTATCAACCAATGCTGTTGTGAAGTGCTTGACAGCCTGCTTGGTAATTGTTGAATATTTGGGTACCACTGGACTAGCATCAGTCTAATTGTTTTTCCCATACCAGCTCCTGGCTGCTGTTCACGTCTTCCGCTATTAACTTTACTTTCTCCTCCAGCAGTGATGCTTGGATCTGCTCTAAAAAATTCCCTAGAAACCTTTTCCAACGCTGCTGTTAATTCCTGCTGTAGTTGCCTTCTTTTGGTCCCATTCAAGTTGATCCTGTGCATGGTACTCTAGCTATATCTTCCAGAATGCCTCAAATTGCTGTTATAAGGTTCTGAAATCTATCATAACGCCTGCTTTTGTATCAAAATTGTGTACCTACCTTACATATGGAGTTTTAGGTCTAGATGGGAAATTTAAATGATGGGTTAGAGTATTTAAGGAGTTGCCTTCTCTTATGACTTATCTTGGACAGTGATAGGAGCTTGTTCAGAGAATCCTTCTATTTCTGGAGTCTGGGAAACTCAAAAAATCTTTCTGAAAATTTTCTTAAATCTTTAGTTCCTGAAACAACCAACAAAAACACTTAATTAGAAGTAAATAAAACAACTGACTATACCAAATAATAAAATTACTCCTACGCCAATAATTACCCACGAGAAATAGAAACTAGTCCATCACACAAAATAACTATCTACTAAATGCAAGGACTAACTACTACAAAAAACAATAAATAGAGCATTGATTCTGAACAATTAAAAATGGGTAGGTAGATAACTAAAATAAAGTAACTAATTATAACTTGCTTGCTGAGTTGCTGATTTGGACTGGCCGAGAAATATCAACATTCAACTTGTCTAAGGTATCAAAAAAGGTGGGGTAGTTAATTTCTTTTGATTTTGGAAATAACGAAGGCCCTTGACCGGTTCAAAGTGAAATGAAACTTGTGTGATCCTTGTGGATGGCTGCTTCCAAATCTATCTAGATTAGGCCTCCCCAGGTTCTTGATAACCCAACTTATGTTCTCAAGGATTTTGTGTTTTGGTCATGAAACTCCCTGCTTTCCAAAAAAAAATTGCTTTTCTTAGCAGACAGATTAAACATTGAATAGCTTAACGGTTGTATATTTTGGACTGGAACACGATGTTTCTTCACGGATCTACCTGTATCTAGCTGGCATTGGAGGTCCTTTTATGTTGACTTCTCCCCCTTTTTTTTTCAGTTTCTTTCTTGTTTTCCTTTTGGTTTCTTTTGTTTAGAATAATGGATGACCAAAAGTAACAACCACCAGATACGCGTAGTGTTTCAATATTTTGATTGCTCACTTCATACAACACTTTTTTTTTTGGGGGCCTCCACCTAACACAAAAGATTGGATCATGGGTCTTACATACTGTCTTATGACTGTACCATTTCGATAATAAGAGTCCTGTGTTGTGTTCTGCCTTTATCTTAATATAATCTCGTTTCTTTCTTACCAGAGAATGTTATATTTTTTAATGGAAAATGACTAAGATTTATTGCTTGTAGGTATCTCTGCTTTTGAAAGAGAGTTTCATAGACTCATTCCCTAGTCGTGATCGACCATTTATGAAGGTTTACTTCTTGAATATTAGACGAAAGATTTCTTTTAATTTCTTTTGGCATATATGTTTCATCTTCTTGGGTAACCCTAATCTAATGCAACAATCATAGACATAGGAACTGCATTTTATGTTTCTCGATGTGTTTTTTCTGGTGCAACTATATGATTTTTTCGGATGTACCTTCCTCTTATACGAAAAACATTGGGAGGTTTCTTCAAGACAAAATATCATTAGAAAGGAGGGAAAAGATAACAAAAGTATTACTAAAGGAGGATAACCTATCTTCTGAAAGGAAAAGATCAAGATAGAGAAGTTTAACCTTAAGAAAACATGGCTCTAGCCCAAAGAGAGGCACAAAAACACCATCCTCTCCTGAATGTATATGATGTTCATGCACCAAAATTGAACTATTATTACTTAATGTGGGAGTATTATTGACAATGGATAGCATTGCTGGCTGTCTTATTTTATTTTATTTTTGCACGGGAACTTACAATTCTTTTATTTCTCTTGCTGGGCAGCTTTTTGTAGACACGCAACTCTTCTCTGTACATACAGATCTTGTTCTCTCTTTTTTCCAGAAGCAGTAATGCTGCTGCCATACGAAGAATGATGTGAAATATATTTTGTTGTAACTTGTATCTAAAGTGCAGCCATGTATAATATTAGAAGATAAAAGTTGTTCATATATTAGCATCAGTGTGATTTTCTTGGTGGGTGAGGTTGCTCCATTTTTCCCTCCCTGTCCTGTCCTTTGATCCTTTTACTGTAAGATAGAATCAAATGAAATCCACCACTATATTGTTATATGGTATCATGGTTGCTTAATTATTAAGTAAAAGTTTAGATTTGTAGAAAGAAGTTAATTCCAATGTAAATAATCTTCTTATCAGCTTCGCACATTATGACTGATGGCATCCTTGCAATTGCATTGAGAACGCTATCGGACAAAAGAAAGCATGCAGTTTGTCTATTTCTTTGTTTCCCTGGATCTGTTGGGGTGCCTACATGTGACCACCATGATGACAGTCACGAGTTTGAGGTGTGATGTACCAACCAACCATGGGTAGATACCTTGAACCAGGTTTTAAGATGTAGGATTTGGGAGCAATTGGGAGTTGTTAGCTAGTTGTAATGCATGGGTTTCTAGTAAGTATATACATCCTGTTTTGTTCGGTAGTGGTATTATCTCGCATTTGGTTGGTAGTGGTATTATCTCGCATTTGGTTGGTAGTGTGTTGATATAATACAGTAAAAGTGGAAGAAATCTCTTGGACCCTTGTTGCTTGCTGCACGGGATGGTTCATGTCTACATTTTGCTGACACAAGGTGAAGGCTGAAGAGGGTCAGGCGGAGGATGCATGTATTTTGTCTTTGTTTGCAGGGGTAACATGATGTTGGAAGAAGAGGACATCAGGTGTTTGGGACGGGGTCAGATTTCAGAGCTTCAGAGTTCAGACAAATGACTCACCCATTTTACTACTGACTTTGTTGGTATTGTAGGTAAAAGCCATGTGGATTTGTACCAACAAAACGGAGTATTGGGACAAATTAGGATATTCAACCAAAAAGGGAAACAACGGAAGCGGCAGCCTGAATTTTAGATTAATAATGGAGGCTGAAATGTAATCTGATCAGCCATGTCGTGATTCTAAGGAGAGAAATGACAACTGGGTTATTTTTTATTTGTATTATATTTCGAGTCCTCAAGAATAAGACACAACATTGTCAAAAGTTTGAACACAGGAACCAAGATAAAGATTTTGTGAACGCTGAGGGTGATCACATCTTTAATTAGTTTGGAAGTAGGGTTAGCGAGGAATCTTGTGATGTGTAATAAAACCAGAAGCCAAATGTTGGGTGGGAATGACATGAATCTCTCTCTTATTTGATTAATTGTTTCGGGGGTTAAAATATTGCTAATTACTTTTTGTAGTTTTTTATTTTTTATTTTTTTTTTAAAAAATAATATTTATTAAAGAAACGCAACGCACCTGGGGGACTGTTATGGTTTTGGTGGAGTTATTGTACAAAAAAATGGTGGATAGCATGTGTTAGAGGGTTGCAGGAGTAGAGATAAGAAGAGTGGAAATAGAGGGCACTGCTTGTACAACTTTCTGCCGAACTTGCAAATACAAGAATAGTTCCAGAGAATTAAATGCACACAAACCAACCTACTCTCTCTTATCTTTCCTGCTTCCCCCCAAAAACAACCCTTTTAACCTCGTTGCCTCTACTCAACCCTATTTTCTTTAATTCTTCTCACCATATATTCCAAAGATCATTTGTGTTTTTCTTTCCCTTTTTGTCATGCAGACAGACCTTGGGTATTTGTCTAAGCGCGGAACTCGGATTTGAAACATACATATACAAAAGCTAATGAGGGGATGTATTTTCTTTCCTGCAAGCAAATGAACTCTAACTTGTTGAAAACAAGAACGTTTAAATTTTATTTCCACTGTAACAAAACGCAGACCTCAGAGCACACAGTGTTTACAGAGTGTAAAAAATTGTGAAGTAAAATAAAAATAAAAAGGAGGGCGAAAAAGGGTGGGGTGGGTTGTAGTCTTATCAGAAACCCAAAAAGAAGACAGACCTAGGGCTGCATAGCTCCTATTTCTCAATTTCCCAAATTGAAAAAAAGGTCAAATGGTAAGTGGGGGATGCTCATGCTGCTGGGGTTCTGAGGTAAAGGAACAGAAAAAGTAAAAGAGTTAGTAGCAGTGAAAGCTCCAAACCGTACAAGCTTCTCAGGAGGGGGCCAGACACCCAACTCTTTTAACAAGTCTTGAATATTCATTACTGGAAACGTATATATATGTACATATATGTATTAAATAATAATTCCTTATTTTGTTTTTACAGTTCTGTTTAATTTTTAATCCACCCTCCCCACAACAGCACTCCCTTAAGTTTATGGATTTCCGTAGAGTTGTCAGAGACAAGAGCTGCTACAGAGGCAGCTCAGCTGCAGGACCAGAAGCAGCAGAGAGGTGCAGTCATAATACGTGCAGCTCTCTCTCTCTCTTCTCTCTCTCTCTCTCTCTCTCTCTCTCTCTCTCTCTCTCTCTCTCTCTTTTCCAGCACTGTAATCAGAACCATTAGTTTTATCCGTGTACAGAAGATTCTGCAGGCCAATGGTCCCTGAAATAAATATACCTACTCTACTCCTTCCACCCATACTCTCCTTTCACTGCTTTCTCATTTTGTGTTAATTGTCTTTTCAACTTTCTATTTTCTTTTCCTCTCGAGTGATGAGCGCAAGAAACAGATTTCCCTTCACTGCATCTCAATGGCAAGAGCTTGAGCACCAAGCTCTAATCTTCAAGTACATGGTCTCCGGTATCCCCATCCCTCCTGATCTCCTTTTCGCCATCAAAAGAAGCTGCATCGACTCTCCTCTCTCCTCTCGCCACAGTGAGACTCACTCCTTACTCTTGTTTGATTTCCTCTTTTAAGTTTTTACCTTTGGGGTTTTTTCTCTTCTTTCGTGTTGTTTTCTTTCTTTTTTTTTTCTTTTTTTTTACTATTTGGGCCTCTTTTGAAAATTGGGTTTTCACCCTCTTCTCATGGGTGCAGTTGGGTGGAACTGTTTTCCAATGGGTTTGGGTAGGAAAATTGACCCAGAACCAGGAAGATGCAGGAGAACAGATGGGAAGAAATGGAGATGCTCCAAAGAGGCCTACCCAGATTCTAAGTACTGTGAAAGACACATGCACAGAGGCAAAAATCGTTCAAGAAAGCCTGTGGAAGTAACTACTACAACGACAACATCGACACAAACCATCTCTTCCATCGCCAAAACTCCATCATCATTCGCTCCATCTTCTCATTCGCTCTCTTCCATTTCCTCCTCCGAAACAACCCACCACCACCATCTTCAATATCCTTATAACCACCATCCTTTCTTATATTCACATACATCTTCTTCAAGGTCTGCTGGGATTGCTTTGCCACCTCAAGATAACACGGCCCATTTGTTTTTGGAGTCTGCTTCTTATTCACAGGCTGACACTGATTACAGGTTTGTGATTGTGCACAAATGGACTCGGCTTTTATCCGTTCCTCGGAAGTTGGATTTTCGTGTCTGATTCTCGGTTTTATTTTGTTGTGTTGTTTGGAAGAAGAAGCAGGTATGGTTATGGGGGTAAGGAGGATGAGCATGCTTTCTTCTCACAGCCTTCTGGGACAATGAGGAGCTTTTCTGGTTCATCAACTGATGATTCATGGCAACTTACCCCGCTGACAATGAGCTCCACTTCTTGTTCCAAGCAAAGGAGCTACTCTGGTTTACAGAATGACTATACGTACTTGCAGCTGGCAGATCACACCCCAAAACAACACAAGCATTGCTATGTCTTGGGTGCTGATATCAAATGTGAAATGCCCGTCAAGTTTGAGAAACAAGAAGAGGAGGAAGAAGAAGTGCAAGAACCCCACAAGACGGTTCACAGGTTCTTCGATGAATGGCCGCCAAATAATAGAGAGTCATGGGGTGATTTGGATGACAAATCATCAAACGCTGCATCTATTTCAACAACCCAGCTGTCCATTTCCATCCCCTCCTCTCTATATGAATTCCCCATTTTCAGTTCTAGACCCCAAAATGGTAAAACTGAAAATCTCAAATACTATCGTTCAATTCCTCAAAAGTTTGATAATAATCCAGTTTGAATTTCGTTTTGTATTATAACTTGCAGATGGGTGAGTCTCACTTGCCACACTCTGGTGGGTTGCTGTACTTATTGCCAAACATGTACTTGCATGGTGGGGTTAATGCTGTGGCATGCCAAGTCTTGAATGACTGTTATCAATGTCTTGTTTCTTTTTCTCTTTTGTTGTCTTTTGGCTTTCATAGCAAAATGTGCTCATATTGCATTAGCAGTACTGATGAATGAAGGATCCAATGCCTTTTACTTCAAGACTAGCTGGATTTTCTGATTCATGAAAGAGAACCCGGATTCAATTCATTCCCACCACCAATATATTATATAATACAATGATATTAGTAGGAGTGATGCTGTTGTGGGTTTTTTTTATGGTTTTTTTGCTTTGAATTTGCAGATTGTAAAAGTATTATGGCTGAGTTGAGGGACCCAGTGTTTCCTAGATTTGCTAATTTGTCATTTATTCACTCCACAAAATTTTAGTTGCTACAATACTTTGCATTCGGTCCAAGTCCAACTAACAGAGACAAAAATGTTACTGTTGCTGATAAAAATATTTTTACTTTATATATATGTGTGTGTGTGTGTTTAATTGAAAGCATAGCAGCTTGTAAAAGAAAAATGAAAAGTGTATTACTGTTGAGTTGAAGAAATGCAATAACAAATAGTGTTGAATGATGAAATGGCCAAGTTGTTAGAATAGTGATTTTGATTGAACTTAAAAAAACGGTGAAATGTGGCGGGCATATGGGTCAATAACAATTATGTATAATAAGCAGAAGCAGAAGCAGTTGCAGAGACTGAGAGGGAGACAGTGGTGAGGTTAAGCTTTGGCCAAAAAAGCTACTGTACATAGGTGTGGAGCTTCTGGGTGGGGTTAAGTTTCGTTTGGTCCAAAACCAAGAAAATAGAAAGTGAGAGAGAGAGAGAGAGAGAAATGTGAGTGATGACTGATAAGTAAATCAGTAAGAGAGTTTCCAGTGAAGAAGGCAGAAACTGTAAGCTACACTTTTAATCCCTACCACCTCTGACTCTGACTCTTTCTCTGTCAGTCACTACCACCCCCATCAATTTCTGACACATTTTCAACTCTCTCCTCTGCAAACGCTGTCGTTTTCAATTCATGTCATTGACCTCCAAGCCCATTAAAACATTTTTTTCATGGGAGTTTGGATCCTAATCTTATGGCCCATTAAAACATTTGTTTTGCCTCACTTCCCAATGCTTTACTCTTTTCATCAACAAAACTTCTTTACTCCCCCTTTAACAGCCCACTTGTACACACATAAAATCTATTTCCTTTCCTATACCTTAGTCCTTTTAAATTACAGGTTTCCTATTACAATTCTCTAATTATAATCAGACTAAGATTTTAAGTTAAAATATTGCACATATCTAGGAGAAATATTTGCTTAGCAAAACTATTTTGAAGGCCTACACGTCAAATACAAAGTAGTATGTCAATGAGAAAAGGGATTCAGGTATACATAACGACCAGAAGAGTTAAAAAGACAACTTATACGTTGAAACAACAGATATAGAGAGAATGATTATGCCCTTGGATAGTGATGATTTACTTCATAATGGATGAGCGGACACCTCTCTAGATGTACCTTTAACAGCTGCTGAAGTGGGGAGAAAGATGATGGCCTCAATACTATTACATTTAACTTCCTCGTTATTTCTGGAAATTTGTTTCCGAAGGGTAGAGTTGTATGAATAATGGTAGACAGCACAACTATAAGTAAAGATGAAAATTTATATAAATAAATAAATAAATAATAGCAAGTACCGGTCACAGTAAAATGAGCATTAATTTACAACATTAACAGATGAAACTTTCTCAGGTATTCAGTAAAAATACAGACAGAAAAACAGCAGCTTTTATAAACAATTTATCCTCCGGATCGACGTTTTCCATTAATTCTCCTAAGTAATATATAGAAAACCCTCGCAGAAACTCAAGACGCTTGATCTCAGTCCTCATCATCATCTACATTATTATCTCTAACTCCTGCATCATTATCCTGAAGTTCAGTAGAATTGTCCCTGGCAGGGCTGGAATCAGGCTGCCTATCTATTGGCTCATCCTCATCTGATTCTTCCCATGCCCGTCTCCGCCGACCCATGGCTGATGAAGGTGCAGCCTTCACCAAGGAAAGATAAAAATTATTAATGATAAAAATTAATTACATGTGATAAAGCAAATTAGAGAAGCTTTGTAGAATGCACCAACTACTATTGTTAAATATAATACAGAACTAAATTGGAGACAAAAAATAAACTTTTATCACCTCATCCTCAGCATCGGAATCTTCAAGCCCAGCAGCTGCAAGAAGATCCTGAGCATTCTCTGCTGGTTCATCGTCCTGATCATTCATTTGATTTGCAGTCTCCTGATAATTAATGTTGGCATCTTCATCTTCCACTTCTTCATGATCATCCATCATCCCAGCTTCCCCTTCCTCTGTCTCATAACGAGACCTTGAGCTCTTTTCTTTCTTGCTCCTCTTTCCTCCTTTTCTTCTCCTCCTCTCACTATGTCCGCCGTCATCATCCATTTCAGGTCTCTCCTTCCGCTTACTAGTTGCAGGGGTGCTACTCTTCCATTGCTCCTGGAGAGATCAGAGAGATCTTTTTGTTCTTAAAAAGTAGTGTGCAGATATATTATACAATATATCTATATATATATATGTAACATTGGCACGGGGGAGATACCAAAGAATGGACAAACGGGAAACTTGAACATTTTATACAACCAGTCAACCTAGATGTTATCCTAAATATTGTCTTCATTAGCTCCACATGAATTACAGAATGTAGCTGCTTATAATTTATGTTTATAAAACCAAATCTCTTTTTCCTTCTGACAGAAAAGTCCTTCTGGACCACAATAATCTATGTAGTCTCTTTTTTTTGGAAATAAATATATGTTATCTTATCTTACCACCTCATAAAAGAAAATGCAACCAAAAGAAATTAGGAAAAGGTCCCTTTCTACACAGGTATTTCCACCTGACTTGACATTCAAACAAGTGTGAATCGCACTATAGCTAACAAAAATGGAAGTTTGATGCATTTGTCACGGTAACAATTACCTTGATACGCTGAAAATGTTCTTCCTCTTGCTTAAGCCGTTTCTGCTCATCCTCTTGTTTTCTTCTCTCCATCTGTGACAAAAATAAGTCAGCAAGGAATATTTTTGTGCCTGAATTTGTATGATAATCCACATAAATTCAATTTAGAAGGCATAAATCAAATTTAGAGCTTCAAACCTGAAATTTCCTCTGTTCTTCAGCCTTACGACGAGCTTCTTCAGCCAAAGCAACTTGACGAGCAACTT